GATTTAATCCGTCTTTGAAATAGTTTCAAATTGGTTGAAAGAAGTTTTTTTGCCATAGTTGATGTGCTTCTAGGAGCAAAGTTTATCACTTTAAATTTTTATGGCGTGTGGGGGGAGGATTTTCACAAAAAATCTCAAAGTAAAAAAAATCATTTTTTTTTACATTTAGTTTTTAATGTTATTACTGCTCAATTGACCTTAAAAAGCAGTGAGAACTTTCAAGGTTTCTCCCTGATACGAGCAGTCTTGTTGTTCCGACTTTCGTAACGAAAGTGACTGAATATTTGTACTCGGGCTGGATTTTTTTTTTCACACAAGTTTCGACTTTTTAACTGGCCATTTTTTGACAACCATTTTTATATCATTCAAAAGGTATTGTTTGGTGTCTTGAGCTTAAATTTGAGCTCCGTCTTAGAAATCGTTCCAAATTGGTTGAAGGAAGTTTATTTGCCATAATTGATATGGTACTAGGAACGAAATTTGTCATTTTGTACTTTATAAGCGTGTGGATGGATGATTTTTAAAAAAAAATCTCAATTTTTTTTTATAATTTATTTAATTATATATATTTTTTTCATGTTAGTTTTAGCTCCATAGACCTTAAAAGGCAGTCGGATCAACAGGTCTTTGTCGTGATACGAGCAGACTTTTTGTTCCGACTTTCGATACGAAAGTAACGGAATAATTGTGCTCGGGGTGGGTTTTTTTCTTCAGACAAATTTCGACTTCTTAACTAGCCATTTCTGTAGGAATTTTTTAATATCATTCAAAAACTATTGTTGTCGTGAGCTTAAATTTGAAAAAATATTTCACCTGTGATCTTCTTTTGTAACGTTAGTGTTTAAAGATTGCTATTTTGGCCAATTTGGGACAATTAACGCGCGATATGTTTCGCGATATTAATGTGTAAGCCGAGATTTAATCTGTCTAAGAAATCGTTCCAAATTGGTTGAAAGAAGCTTATTTGCCATAGTTGATTTTTTAAAAGGAGCGAAATCGGCTCTTTTTCCCTTCCCCCCCCCCCTCTCACATATATATCAATTTTATGTTGTAACGAGGTTAAGTATGAAGACCAAATATGTTTGTCATAGCCTAATCAGTCCGCATACCAATTTTTGTAACAATCAGATGATGTGAACAAAATTTTACTATTAAAATTTCGCTGGTGGGAGGGAAAGGAAAAAGAGCCGCGAAATCTATCCTTTTGTACTTTATATGGCGTTTGGGGGGAGGATTTTCATTTTAAAAAAATTCAAATTTTAGAAAAAAAAAGTTTCGTTTTATTTAATTACATTGAATTTTTTTCTAGGTTATTACTGCTCTAGAAATCTTAAATGGCAGTCGGAAAATTCAGGGTTTCGCCCTGATACAAGCAGTCTTTTTCTCATTTATCAATCAAATACTTGAAGCAATTAACTTGGACGATTTAGTTTGCCGAACTGGGCTCCCAGTTACATTTACTGTTGGAAAATTGCCAACGCATTCTTATTAAGCAGTAATGTTTGCTGTTAGGGCAAAAACGAAAATCTGTTGCTAGTTTATTGCTAGCTCATCGCTTGAAAGACATCTCTAAATCAGCGCTAACTCAGCACTTACAGTTGCTATTACAGCAAAAAGTTATAAATTCATTACTAATTAATCGCTGATTCATAGAAGTCAAAAAGTTCAAGGTGAAAACATAAAACCGAAAAGTACAGGTACTAGCCCACCCTAAAACCTCTTTTACTGGGTACCCCAGAATGGGGGCGGAGTGACGGAAAGATAAATTTTTTGCAGTGTTGGCCTTTATCTCTTCTCAAAATACGAGCTTTCTACTGTGGATATCAGTTAAAAAGTGATAAAATAAAAAAAATCAATTAAAAATGCAACAAAAGGCCAAAAAATTGGTTAAAATTATGCCAACAGTTTAAACTTTACGAAGGAGTTAATTGAACGAGCGCATATAAATAATCAACAACAAGGTCCTTTTATACTAACTGTACATGTTTTGGATTTGAGCATGAATATCGCGAGATTTCTTCCAACCCTGGTTCTGCGTCCACTCCCCCTTAGCTTTCAAAAAGTTAAATATTTGATTAGTGGAGTCCAATTGAATCTTCTTTAGAAAAGTGTAGAAGCTTGTGTGGCTCCCTTGAAATAACGCGGTCACTCCGAGATGCCAGCCTTCAACAGCGTTTGTCGTTCGGATCGAACATTCCGCTGCTTCTTAAGAATGATTCCAGAGACTCAGAGGAAACAAGGGCTGCCTATTCGTCATATCGTTTCCCCTTTAATGCAACTTCTCTTGAAGTATGAGGCAAGCTCGTCTAGTTTATCTGCCACACCTTGCTCGAGATCTAAATGGTCAACCATGCTCGACTTTCTCAATAACGCTCTCAAACGATTTTTCCGACTAAAGCAGTTGGAACAAAACCTAAGGCGGATATTGAACGGTGATCAAGGCTTAGTTCACAATTGTTTTCATACGCTTTTTTCAAACCGGGCTTGTTTATTTTGCGTAGAAAGGCTTGTCCGAGGTGAAAATAACAACCTTCTACTGAAGACTTTAGATATGCCTTTCCGAAAATATTGACGGCGGCTCGTTTAAAATCAATAAGAATCGTTGGTGGTTGCGCATAATTCGAGACAGTATAAATAGATTTCAGGAGCGTTGCATATGTTTGTTCTAACTGGTTGGGGAGTACAGCACAAATGCACCTTGGGTAGAAACCGCCCATTTGATTATGTACAGTAATAAGCTGGTAAAATTGCATCGGGCAAATTTTGAAAGTGCCGTCACAAAGCCAATGATAATTGTGAATTTGAAGGAAAGGTGCATTAACCCGGTCACCAAAAATTAGCATTCAATCAGGTTCAATGTCTCCACTGTCGAATCAACAGAAATCAGTATACTCCGTTGGAATTACAAATTGGCTGTCTTTTTTGATTGGGGCAGATAGAGCTAGATTCTGTTTATGACAGTTAAGAGTTTTTTTGCCAATCGACTGAGCAAGGATCACTAATCTGTTTTTTTTGTCTGATGCCTTCTGTAGACATGTGGTAATTAAACTGCTATTAACAGGTGCCATTTGCTGCCTGGCCTTTTTTTAAAACATTTTTTGCATGATATTGTTCGCTTCAACTTTTTCCCGGTCTAATGTCGTGACTATGTTGGTTTTTGGTAGATGTCATTTCATATCCAGCTGTTAAAGTGAGCATTCGGTCAGCACATGTGTGAGCTGTATCCAGTGTTCAGTTGTTGTTGTTGTTTCCATTTCCAGTGTTCAGTTGTTGTTGTTGTTTGCTTTTTCGTGAAGTCATGTTCGTCAATAATCAGCGTTCGTTTGTTTTGTTGAGATACTCCTCACGTAAGTTGACTCATAATAGTTAAGTTGTATGTTTGCACAGAAAATTTATAAGCCATGACGCAAAATAAAATTATTAATATTTCTTACTGTTTCAATAGCGTTAATTGCGGTTTATTGTCAAAATTTTGCGTTAAATTGACAAATTTCAATTTTTTAATTGAAGAAAATTTAGCTCCGAGTTAATTGTTTCTGCCGTTTTCTTCAGCTTTTAACGGATTCTTTGTTATAGCCTGAAGAAATTGAATCATTGGCCGAAAATTAAAAAAAAAAAGATTTTCTACTTGTGACTGTTGTATTAAAAAGTTTGAGGGTTCAAATATGGAAACTTAGGTCAATTTAAGACAATTAATGCACAGACATTTTTAGATTTTAGGATTCAGTTTTAAAATGAATTTAAAGTCACATTTGAGTAATCTAAACTCAAGTCGCGAATAGCAAAAATCGAGCGCACTCTTAAAAACCAACAAAACGGCCTTATTATGTGTCGTCGTCACATCATCGTTGCGAACAAAAACATAATATCTTAAAATCCTTGAATTGGAACATTTTTTTATGATTGGCACTTTTCTTTTGTTAAGCACTTATCTGAAATTGCGCAGTGTGTTCGTTCAATTGAATCATGCTGACTGAAATGAGACAATTGAATCGCTTCAATTATTTTCATTTTTTTTTACTTGAGGAGAAAGGCAAGAGAAATACTTGAACGTGGATCTGCAAATGCGATGGTTATCTCCCAGGCACTACTAATTATAACTAAGTGTCATTTAAAGTGAAGTTTTGTATATTTTCTGCGTGAAAACAATTCATTATGATAATTGTTGCTTTAAAGTCGACCTTGTATATAAGTGTGTGTGTATGTGTGTATGGGTGGAACTACCATCAAAACAAACCTTCCAACAAGTTCTTTTGACTATTTTTGAATTCTTTTTAAACTACTGCAGATGCTTCAGAGGGCAGTCGGAATAATCAAGGTTTTGTTCTGATGGCGCACAAACAATTCGGCCAAAGACAATTCAGCCAATTTGAAATTCAGACAATTCAGCCAGAAATATACAGACAGTTCAGCCTGAGACAATTCAGCCAGTTTTACAAAACGCCAGATTCGGAAGGAAAAAAAAATGGAATTGGAGTTATTTCTCGGTTTAAGGTCGCCTGTGGGATATGAGCAGTCTTGCAATAAACTTTATTTAAGAAGTTTCTAGATGATTTGGTGCATTTAAAAAAATGTGGTTCACTGGAGCAGTCTTTTTACATATATCATCCCATGGTCTGGAATCTTTTTTGGTGGCAATGGGTCGGTTCACTAACAGAAAGTTTGTGTTCAATTGCAATTTATTGCTTTGTTCTTTTTTCCCCATTTTAAATACATGAAATTTTTTATACACCATTTCTGCATTTAACTTTTGAAGTGTAATCAAATTCAGTATATATTACGGTTGAAAATTTTTGATCAATTACAGTTTGCTTTTTTCCACGTTAATTTTCATGTTCCAATTTGATTTACCTTTAAATATCAATTTTGCATTGCGCTTTTTGGAAAAGTAATGTTCCTAATTAAAATTGAATACCGAGAATAATTTTCATTGGCTGAAATTTGATGCTGCATCTCGCAAAAAAGCTTACCATTTTTACCATTCATATATTCCTTATTCTGCGCTCAAAACTTGCCACAAAAAAGAGCAATAATTAATGTCAAGTCAAATAATCAGTATTTAAAAATAACTGCAGGTCCATTTACAACTTGATCCGCTTTCCTTTTTCTCCAGTTTTATTCTAACTTTTCTTCATATCCAAATCAATGTGATTTTTTCGGTTTTTTTTCTGTCGCGGGTACAATTTCTTGAAATAAATTGAAATTGAAATTTCCAAGAGTTCATTAAATATTACAATTTGCACTCTCCATTCTATTTTAGGCTTATCTTCGTCTTGAAAACTGCCAGTGACAATTTGTTCACTTGAACTAAGAAGAACTAAAAGGTACATGACTATTTTGCTTCGACGCTTGTCATTAAAACTTGTATCTGTCTTAGCAACGAAAAATCCGATCAGATCGGTCGCTCACAAAGTATCCCAAGCGGCAAAAACAGCGCGCTTACTTTCCGGTTCGACGGCCTAATTTACTTGAAAAGACCGCAACTTTACCCTCTGGTCCTGCTTAACCGGAGATTTTCAACCCACTCTTAATGCCTGGTTAGAACCATTAGACTAGCACCCATCCGCCCGTCAAGTTCAATTTATGGTCCCTTTGTGCTTTTAACTGCAATTCCATTTCACAGTTCATCAAAAATTGAACCTGATCCTATTCTTGTAGTTTTATCTGCCATTTTATTTCACAAGTTCAACGTAATTTTTTCTGTACTATTTTGTCACAGCTAAAAAATGAAGCATTCAATCTAAAGCAAATCTTTTTAAAGTATTTTATTGATATCTTTTAACATCCATTCATAGATTTAAATCATTGTATGGAATTCTTTGAAAGTCAATGATAAAATTTAGTCCAATTCGTTTTACTAATTTAAACTTTTTGTTTCAATTTTGGTTTAGAGACTCCAAAAGTTATCTTTAAAAAAGTTTGAAAAAATGATTTTGGAAACAAACCTTCTCTCCACGACGGCCAATCCATCCTTCCGATCGGAACCTTCGACTTATGGAAATAGCGCAAACATGGCGAGTCGTAACAGTTTCGTGAACGTCAGCACGAAAGATGACTCATCGTTAGTCGTGTATAGTTACAACGAAGCATACGAGTACTTGGTCCGAGTGAGTCAGACGACAACTGATCGGGTGCAGATCGGCCTGCTATTGGTCAATTTTGTCGTCGGCATATCGGCCAACAGCGGCGTGCTTGCTGTTATTCTCTCTAACAAGTGAGTAATCAATATAATCAAATACTTTGCAGACTTGCTGATTGAAAACCTCGATTTGTTCTTTCATGTTCCAGTTATCGTTTTTTCAGTCAACTAGCCCAAATTTTAATTATTTAGGTTGACAAGAGCGCACATATACAGCGTCCATTAAGCTTTAACTTAAGCAAGAAAGCTCACTTTGCAAATTAGGCTTTTTCCAGTTTTCCCCCTCTCAAAATACCGAGTTTTATGTTTGTTTTACGTGTTATTACTGCTAAATGCGTGATGTTACGCTGTAAACTATAGAGAACAAATCTGTTCACAGTTGTCGATTTGTTCACCACGCCAAATTTCATTGCATTATGACAAGGTTAGATAGACTTTTCAAAACTGAGTTTGAAAGGGGAGGGGTACTGGAAAAGAGTAGCAAATTACAGCGCACTTGCAATTTGAGCCAGCAATCATTTGATTACTGGGCACCATCAGTAACGGAGCGCCACATTTTATTTTTTTTTCAAGTCCAGAAAATTTAGATTTTTTTGTGAAAATAGATATGCTGGGTCAGAACTAAGTGAGGCGAAAACAGAAATATGGCTCTTTTTCCTTCCCCCCCCACCTGCAATTTTTTATGTTTGAAGTTCCTGTTCATTTTGTCCGATTGTCAGTCATGAAAAATTGACAAACATTTTTAGTCTTCATAATTAACCTTGTAAAACCACTCGTTAGACCAAAAAAAATCGTGTTTGAGTGAGGTGGGGGGGGGGGGGGGGGGGAGGAAAAAGAGCCAGAAATAAATAGCTAAGTCCAAACATGCTCATATCAAAATCTACTTTTACGTCCACAAATGGCACTGAGGAATAGCGGTATGGCTTAATCCACTCAGCTGCGCTTACATTCATTACGTATAATAAAGTAGTTTGAATTTGTCTGCGGAACAAAGAAAAATCATCTTTATAGTAGCAGCTTGTTTTGTATTTTTTGTTCCGACTTTCGAAGAAAGTAACGGAATAATTGTGCACGGGTATTTTTTTCTGAAAACAAAACTTGGTTTTTTTAACCCATGTTTTCGACGGATTTTTTTAAATTATCCGGAAGGTTTTGTTATATTGAGCTCAAACTTCACAAAATTGCTTGATTTGCCCAAAGCTCTGAATGTTTCGACTGCCCTGCATTGTCTTTGAAATCGGTTCTTAAGAAATCAATTAAAAAATGAGAAAAATGAAAAAAAAACATGGCACAAAAAACAAATGGCTCAAACAAGGTCGAATCATGAGTCGAACAGGGTCGAATCTTGATTCGAAATGGGGTCAAATTATTAAACGAAAAGGGTCGAATCATGGATCGAACAGGCTCGAATGATGGGTCGAACAGGGTCAAATCATGGGTCAAACAGGGTCGAATCATGAGTCAAACAGGGCCGAATCATGAGTCAAACAGGGTCAAATCATGAGTCGAACAGGGCGAATCATGGGTTTAGCAGGGTCGAATCATGGGTCGAACAGGGTCAAATCATGGGGTGAATTATGGGTCGAATCATGGGTCAAACGGGGTCGAATCATGGGTTGAACAGGGTCGAATCATGGGTCAAACAGGGTCCAATCATAGTTCGAACGGGGTCAATCACGAACTGTATGATGAGCAGCTTTGGAAAAAATGAATTCGGTTTTTTTTGCGGATTTTTTTGCATGCAACCCGGGTTGAGGTGCTCGATTATTGTTTCGACCAAACTCGGTCGAACACATGGCTGTTGTTCAACCCAAAATCTTTAATCGAAAACACACGTTCCGATCAAACATAAGCGACGTAAACGAGTATATGGACGAAACTTAGCCAAACATCTAGTAGAAATATAGCCGAACACCGTGTCGAAACATAGTCGCACAGAAAGTCGGATACATCGGCGAACACTAATTCGAAACATAGTCAAAACATAGCCAAACACATAGTCGAAACATATTCGAACTCTATCTCGAACTCAAAGTCGAAGCATAAACGAAACAAAGTCAAACAAAAATTCGAAAAATGGTCAAACACAAAGTCGAAACATAGTCGAAACAAAGTCTTACACTTATTCGAAACTTTCAATTTATTCGAAGCAAATAAATATTGGAGTAATGATGATCATAACAAAGTCTTATGAAATTATAAAATGAAATTGCACAATAAAATTATAAACAATCAATGAAACTGTGCTCGAGCAATAAGAATTGAGTTTTTCAGTATGCCATTTTTTGACGTTCACGTTTTGAGTTCAAAACAAAAATAATTTAAACTTGCAACAATTGTAAAAAATGAGAGACTGTAAAAAAAATGAGAGCTTGAAGGTCGAAATTTTGCGAAGGCAAATACGCGCAAATTTTTAATGCACGTATAGGCAGAGTATTAGACCAGATAATAAGTTAGTCCTAGCTGATTTGAGGCAACCTTATTGATCCAAATAAAAGGTTGTTAGACACAAATTTGTTCACATCTACTTGAAACTACTTGAAATTGCGTGAAAAAAATGTGAAAATTATTTCAAAACGTTCAACCGTTTTCGATATATTAAGGACAGTCGGAATCGTGACAGCTTCACTCTGATAAAACTTATTTTTAAAAAAATTCAACTTCAAGTATCGTTTTTACACAGCAAAATGTAGATTTTTCATCGCAGATTAGATTGTGTTTCCGGTAAATTGGAGTGCCGCTGACTTTTGCTTTGATTAGGCTTATCCTTAATGATATTCTTTTGATCTCCTCTTAGCCATACTGGGAGGGAAGAAAATCAAAACTGCAATTGAGGCTGTGCCGATATCTAAAATTAGTGACAAATAATTGCTTACCGGTGTGCTCCAGTTGATTTTTTGAGTTTTCTATTTTTTGAGCAAGTAAAGAGAGTCGATCTAATAAAAATGATTTCATTTAATAAGTGAAAAATTTGTTTTTACCCTAGGAGTTGTGGCATCCTTTGCAATAAAAATCTTCAAACAATTCTTTGAAAATTGCTGAAATATTCTTTTTTGTTTGTTACTCATTTTAAAAAGTCTTCACTGACTTTTGACGCTTTTCTCGGTCATCGTTCACTTTTTAGCTCGGTCATCTCACCAGCAACAAACAAACTACCCAAACTGGAAAAAAAAAGAAATGCTTTTTTCAATATGGTTGGATCCTTGTTCTCCATTGGACTTTTCTATTACGGAAAAACCGCTTGCATTTTGTCTGCAGATAATGTAACGGTATGTTGTGAGCGTCAGGTAGAGGGTTCAAACCTCAATCAAAATTATTTGGCGCAGGTCATTATGTTTTCTTTATTGTTTCGATCATTGAAAATTGGGAGGAACTTTGTGTTCGGGTGTGTTTTAGTTTTTTTTATTTTCCACGAGAAATCAGGTAGTACAAATACTAATTGGACAGGGTTGAGTGATATATCTTTTTAAAGCCCTTCGTCGTGATTCGAGCAACATTAAAAAATCCGAATTTTTTTTCCTTTCAGTGTCGGGAAAAATTGGTTTGGAATTTTTGATTTTCGTCTTATTTTAACTAGCTTTTTTTTAAAACGTAAAATCTTACTTTTACTTGAGTAACGTCAGTTTACTTTGAGTATTTTGGCGCCTTTTGGAATTTTTTTTCAAGAATTCAAAAAAGTGCAAAAGTTGAAAGAAAAATTTTTTGATTTTTTTTTCAATTTTCAAGATACTTTTCTACAAAAATTGTTTTTCAATTTACCTATTTCACTATGACTGTCAAATATACTTAATCTGCATTTTTTGTTCAGCTCTTTTTATCACACCACGCCAAAAAAAAACGAATTTAATAAGAAAAAACTTAGTTGCATTTTTTAACACTATGGTCGGAACGTTCTGCGCCTTTAGCACAGTGACCGGCTATTCTTTTTGGAGTTTGTTTTTTAGTGAAATATAAAGTTCTGCTTTCTCACTACTTTTTTATCTTGTTTTTGTTTTTGAAACAATTTGTGATCGATTTCGAACATGAATGGTTCACTTTTTCAAGTCTCTGATAAACTTCAAAGTTTGAAGAACACTGCTTTTGTTTCAAACATTTTTTCCCGGCATAATAATTAAGCTTTTTTTTCTGTACACGATGTGTGGTTCGGGTGAACCCCTCGTGCGCGAGGGATCAAAAGACTTAGGTCGGAACATTCTGTACCACTTGCACAGTTAACCGGCTATCCTTTTTTAAAAGGTTTTCTTATAGTCAGACCTATCAAAGCCGCAAACAGCACTGGAACATTGCCAAATCAGTTCTAGAACAGTTCTGCGAATTATTTGTCTGATTTCATCTCTGATCAAAGCTACAGTGCCCTTAGCACAGTTGTGTAACAAAACTATTTTAAACTATTGCACTCGTGAGAAAAGTACTGATTATCACTATCAGATCAATGTAGAAAAACAAAGCACTATCGGCCTTCAAAAAATTCGCCGTTTCGCAAAAACCGTAAACTGAGTCAAAAGACCATAAATGGGAGTCTTCGGAGATCGAAAACTACAAACTCAGCAAAATTTTCGTTTGTCCTCATCTGAAAATCTTGGAGCTATTTGTCCAGATAGTGCTCTCTGATATCGAGGTTTTTGATCAAAATATCTGCATGAACATAAGACAATCAGTCAAAGTATTTGTTTATCAATTCAACGTTGCTATGGACAATTAAACTTTTTTGAATTTTCAACTGTACTCTCAAAACTTTATGATTCTATTTATTTAGAGTTTATTTTTGTGCTGTTTGAACATTTTTGAAACGTAAAAAAGTACCAGTTATAAAAAATATAATTTAAAGGCAAATAAATCAATGAGGGTGGATTATGAAATCAGAACACAATGGAATCGGACCGACATAAATAGCCAGTTTAGTGGAAACGAGACACGAATTACGTCCACCACCAGGCCTTTGTCCGAAAGTCAAATCTGTGTTTAGTTTTCGATTTTTACATGAAGCGTTCATTGAACTGAAATTCGCTACGGTTTTCTTCAATTCTGATCTTTTTTATAGAAAAAAAATGATCTCTCCTCAAAATTCATACGGC